TCTAATGACCGATCAAGACCAAACTTGGCACACACAGCCCCCATGACCCACCCTACATCCCGGTGCTGTTTGGAGGATGAACGATGGATGATGGGACTTGCAGTACGTTCACTGACTTCCTGAAACCATAGCGACACTCATTCAAAAACCAATAAAGACCAAACTTGGAACATAGAGCCCCCATGGCCAACTCAACATTCTGGTGAGGTTTGGGGAGTACAGACTATGGATGATGGGACTTCAAGTACCTCCACTCACTTCCCAAGACCTCTGCAACACTCATCTAATGACCGATCAAATCCAAACTTGGCACACAAAACCCCCATGACCAACTCTCCATCCTGGAGCAGTTTGGAGGGGGATGGACCACAGATAATGGGACTCACAGTAACTTCACTAACTTCCTGAGACAACTGCGAGTCATATAAATAACTGATAAAGACCAACCTTGATACACAATTCCTTTCTCAAATAACCCGGGCATTGCCGGGTCCCCAAGCTAGTAATAGATATAAATAAAACCAACAGTGAGAGTCTAGGAAAATATTTGTGAAATAGTGGTATGCACACATCAAAATGTGTGGAAAAGCCTTAACAGTTGCACATGTTATAACTAGCACTTTTTTGCTCTTGGCTTATAGCCACATTCAGGGTAGATATATCCTTGAACAGCTTCATACAGTGTAAATCAATTGCATTCTGCCCCCCCACCCCCCAAAGTAGCCAGCAAAGCCAATAAATAACTTGATATTTCAACCAAGTCTTCATGAACTACTGAATCAAAACAGCCCTCTACTGGGCAAGTGTAGCTATGAAACTGAAAATGCTGAATCCAAAGGACTGGATTTTCTATGGTTCTCCTACTAACATAAATTATTCAGTAGGCCATTTCTACCTTTCCAGTGTAGAACAGCCAATATTACAAGAGAAAAGCAGAATGTCTTCATTACAGAAACAAAAGAGCCAGTTCAAAAATATGTTTTGATTTTTCCTTCAAATTATTTTTGAGAACTCTGATACAACTTGGCAGTATGAATGCGAAGCTATTATTAACTGCTAGCTACAGTTTTTTTCAAACCTGTTTAATGCATTTCCCCTCTTCCATAAAGGAAACCAACACTTTATAAAAACACCAACATTCATAATTAAAAAAATTAAAATAATATATTTTACATATTATACATACAAAAATTCCCAGTAACTACAGGCCAGAAAACAGACACTCTGGTCATGTTACCATGGTAAACCAAACTTTACCAAAGGCAAGAAGCCTGAATAAATGTTTAAACGCGATTCTCTGCAGTCTAGTGATTGCAACAGTTTTCTGCTCAGAGGTTGAATCCAGCCAACAGAAGCCTGAATGTGATCTAACTTAGGTCCATCTCAGAATCAAGAGTTTGTATCTTTGAAACATCACAGAAAGGCCTATTCAATTTCTCCAACGCACTGTTAATTTGTACATGTATAGTAAAAGTGATGCAGCTTAGAACACGGCCTTTTACTGCAGAATTTCACCTCCGAAAGATGTATAAATCAGATGTAAAATGGCAACATTACTTTATGTAAGAACATTCGCCAGAAACAAAGGTAGCCACTGTTAGCAGCTGAAGATGAGAAACATTTAAATAAATGATATGAAATTCTCTTTTTGCTAGATTTTACAGAACAGTTCAATATGAGTGCTTCCTAAATACTGGACCATTGAGACAGTACTGCTCAGCAGGTGACATAAGATTTCTTTCATTGTTCCAGAGGCAAAATGTACTATCGAACAGCTACTCTTTGCTGTTTCTGGATTGTTGAAGGAGAACACTGGAGCAGATTATGACTAATCTCCTTGACTATTCTTCTCAAGTAGTTAGTTCCCACTGGAACGTTAGACAAAATCATAGAAATGTCTCCTTGGCTGAAAACAGAAAATAGGAGATGGTGAGTACTTTTATTCAAACTTAACTACAAAGTTATACTAGCAATTATCATTCACAAGTCTTTCAGTTTACTCACCTAAGGTTGCCTGTGCATTTCTGGATGGTGAATGCTACTGGTGATCCAGGATAGTTGGCAGATAAAGAGAATTCAACTTCAAAACTCGAACAAGCTACAGAACTGGAGAATAAGAACTTCACCCTGCAAATGAAAAAATATACACGGATGGATTTATTAGTGAGGCAATTCATTATCTAAGAATAACTTAACCATCTATGAGTGGACAAGTGCGGTAGGTGTAGGTGCCACTTTCTGCCTGTACAGACCCATGGTACACCGCTTCTACCAGTTTTGTTGGAGCATTTTCAGGGTGTCCCCCCATCATCCAGAAAGTGACCTTCAAAACTTAGGACTTATTGTTTGTGCAGATGAAAAAAACTGCCTGACTTTTTTTGGAGTGTGTGGGAGGCAGGAATGAGTTTAAAAGGATGTTGAGTGAAGCATCACTGACATGCACATAATACATAGCTACACTTCTCCCTTTCATCTGGTCCAGGGAAAAAAAGCTGTGTTACTACCTAGACTCCAAAATGGGCTGGAGAAGAACAACCATGAACTTAAAGCTTTAGACATAGTAGGAACAGGTGAAAAAGAATACTAAGATCATATTAAGGATGGAGAACACTCTTGCACAAAGATTTAGTGGGTAACTTGGAGATATTTCTCAATTCTGTTGAATGCCCAAGTAGCATTAATGACATAGAGCATCTATTTTAAAAACTCCAGTTGGTATGTTGACTGGGACCATACATGGAATAACATGGTATGACTGCCAGCCCATGATTTTGTTAGTGACACATAGGCTTGATTAATGGCATATGATACGCATCTCTGAAAACTTCACTGGTCCAGAATACAGGAAAAGCTGTTAAAAGGGAGCAATAATTCTGACCAGGATGCAATGTCACCAGTTCCACATTTATTTCTAAAGAGAATTCTAGGTGATAGTTTTTATGTAATAAAACCCTAAGGGTCCTATGATTTGGGGGGGGGGGGGGGGCGGGTTCCTGGAAGGCTATTGCTCTCATAATGAATATGCTCAGCAACAGGATCTTTATATGAAGTATTTGTTCAGGTGCAACTGTCTAGAAATTAGATGGATGGCCAATGTGGAAAGAGGCTTTTTGTAACTGTATATAAATCTCTCTTAGAGATCTCTGCCTGACTTTTATTTAGGTGCAAACAATTTTGGTCAAGCTCTTTAATTTTTCTGTGTTTCATTTTTGGCTTTGAAGATGCAATATTTGAATTCAGCTTTGATTTCTTGTCATATATATATATATATATATATATATATATATATATATATATAGCGCTTTGCTGTGATTTCTTGTTCCATAACTATCAATGAGAGAAGTAGCAAATATTTTTTTAAAACACCCACAAAGCTGAAACATGCCATCATTTTGTACTGAACAGATACAACACACACTACCAGTCTCTACTTTCACAAATGGCCATTTTTCATATATTACCTATCAAGGTCTATAATACATAGGACTAGATGAAATACTTACTTTGTGTCATTCACCTCTGTTTTGAGCAGATAAAATTTTCCACCCCATCGATCCAGAAATTCTATCTCTTCTCCCAGAAGTTGACAACGACTCACCACAACAGAAACATCATGCAGAATCTGATGGAAAATTGGAGTAACTAATCATTACATTATAGTAATATTATAAAGGGAAGATGTGTAGAATCGTATCCTAACCACTTTGAAGGCAGACTTTGGAAATGGGAGGATAAACAGGAATCACACATTTTTGAAATATAATTGAAGTGGCAGAGAAAACACACACACATTTTCTTGTTAATTACCTGAGAGAGATGATGCACTGTTGAGCATTTCTCTAGCCGTGAACTCTGACTATTAATAAACTGGAAAATGAGCCTATGTACAAGCTTCGAGGAAGGCAAAGCACTGTCATCTGCAAGAACAATCAAGCAACAAACAGAAAAATGGTTACATTCAAATAATTTCCAATATAAGTTAAATTCACTTTTAAGCTATAATGAACCGTTTTAAATAGTTGAAATGCTGGTACCAAATATCAGTTGTAGTCATGTGACTGAAAATACCTTTTATATGTACAATCTTACTTCTTTTCATCCCAGAATAATATCTAGCCACTGGCTTGGCACCATGATCCAACTACATGTCTGTAACTATTTAGAGTTGTTATCCACAAAGTTTCATGAACTTCTATCATCTGTCCTGTTTTGTTTTACTTATTTCATTATACATCTCATTCCAAATTTTGTCACATAAGACCACCGTATGTGTATAAAGGCATCTTGTTCTTTAGAACTACTGTATTTCAATGCCTACCTGAAAAGTTTTTATTGAAATATTTTAAATTAATTGGAGTGTTATACCATTATTTATCAGTTCAAATTCTAACTGATAAACAGATTTCATAGGGACATCAGGCCACACAGATACCTTAAATACATTTCTTTAGAATATTATTTTTTAAAATATTATTTGCTTCATGTTGGTAGTTTTCCTATTGATGGGATGCATTTTAATCCCAGTATAATAAAAATATGAATGTTTAATATTAAAACATAGACAATCAAAGCTTCTTTATACCAGTTTCTTTTTAATATTTCTTCATATATACTTCAGGTGAGAAATTGGACAACGTATATCTCCTTTCAGAAAGTATTAGAAAAAAGCATTCAAAGGCCTTACCATCTAAGAGCGATTCAAAGTTCACACTAACAATCTTGTTGTTGTAACCAGCACCATCTGTGAGGGGAGAAAACACAGTGTGAAAAGTACTTTAGCTTTCACCTGTAGCTGGACTATCCTACTTCAGTTTCAATCAAAAGAAGGCAAAGGAAGCCTTGCACTACATGGTCAAGCATATTGCCAAAGAATGGCAAATTTGAGGCTACCAGAAAATACACAATGTAATCCAGAGTTGATTTTATCAGCAAAGACCTCACAGTGGGCATCTTAAGACTGGATGAGGATATGCTTTCCCCAGACAAGTAATTGTTCACATGAACAAACCTCCTCTGGGTGCTTTAATTAATTAAGTCTATGGATCAAGCATTCAAGTAATTTAATCTTTACTACAAGGATCTTGTCTATATCCCCAGGTTGCTCAGACTGAAATGTATGTCACCCAGTAAAATTGGTCATTATTGCTCAATAAAAATAATGACATAATGCAACCTCAATCAGTGCTGATGCCACATAGTTTTTACATAATTGTTGAGCTAATATAAGTTCTGTGACTGCTTCCACTGATATCCCCCCCCCCCCACATAATCTGCTTTAACTGCTACATCTGGCAACTGTGACTTTTAGGGTTTACAATTCCAATGTTTTGCAGTCAGCCCTCAGCTTTTCTGTGGCAGGATAAGCTTTTCAAAACTGAAAAGAGTCTTAAAAAACAAAAATATTGCATTTTATCAATACCTTTTTGTATTACACCAGATGTACTTCCTGGTATATGTTTGCCACTTACCTACAGGACACTCAAGCTCAACAAGAAGCTCAATAGAATCATAAAGGAAAGTGAAAACTGCTTGATGATCATTCCATTCTTTCATCACCCACTCAGAAAAGCTACAAGGTGGACAAATAAACAAAATTAATTCATCAGAAGGTACCAAAAGAGATAGGCTTCCTGTTGCCAACTCCCTTCTCTCAAGCTTCTTCACTAACTCACACTTCTTTTTAATGTGAAGATTACATCAAACTGGAATTCTGAGAATTTTAACATTTGCTTGTTATATAGATTTTGCAGTTCTTCCATCTTTATTCCCTAGGATTAGCCAAACAAATACAGAAAATGAGGGTCAGCTTTGATATAAGTATTTAATGGATCAATGCAGAGAGAGTCAATTTTACTATTGGTCCTTTAATGCTTGAGATGTCCATGTAAATGTACGACAAAAAACCCATTTCTATAAAAACTATGCCACACATATGTGAAGGTGTATTTAGGAAACCATTACAGTAAACATACATTGCTGACAATAAAAATTCAAGATTATCACTAATTTTTGGCAAGTATGGTAGAATTACAACAAGGTTTCCTTGAAGTGAGCTTGCTTACTTGTATTTTTCTGTAATATCCTTACAATTTTTTACATATTCCTGGAGATGGCTAATTTCAGAAACGTGGTGTTGTTTTTTATCTCTGAGATTTGATTGATCTCTGAAGGAAAGGAAATGTAAAACATAAGCAAACACTGCAAACAGTGGTAAATCCAATAGTTTTGCATACAAGACAAAATCTTAATAATATTAATAATAATAAACTTTATTTATATCCCACCCCCTCTCCCCGAAGGGACTTACAGGAAATAAACAAATACAATAAATGATACAAAAAATAATCACACATCACTTAATACAACAAAATAGCATAATAGTATACACATAAATAAACAGTTTAAAAGTCTAGTTGAGCCCTCTACACACACACACACACACACACACACACACACAATTTTAAAAATGATTGGGTATACAGCATTATAAATTCTAGTTCTAGACCCATTTAAAATCCTGTCCAGTAAGATGGTTGATACTCTTAGTCATTATCAAAAGCCTGCATAAATAGCCAGGTTTTTGATTCTTTTCTGAAGAAATATGCAATATACTACCTTTGAAGAGCCTCCTCTTGAATTCTGAGGTCTTCCAGCTCTAAAAATGGGGAAAACATACATTAAGGGTCTAGAAGCAGATTAGAAATATACCCGTTTCTTTTATCTGATTAAGAGGTTTCGTTTAAAAAAACAAACAAACAAACAACTTTTCCTTACATTTCTCCCTTCAGAACAGATTGTGCTCAGTAAAACTGCTAGATGGAAATAATCTTGTAAAACAGAATGAATCTGACATATAAGGATATTTTATGGCATTCTTGTAGTGTTGGGCAAGACTGAAATATCAGGCCTACTGTATTTCCCAAGCAAAACGCAGAACTGGACTGAGCCCTGAAACTGAGCAAGATGACCCAACAAATAACTTTGGTCAAAGGATCTACCAAATGCCAACACTGCTTTCAGTCCAACCTGCTCACAGCACTGGTTGAGATAGATCTCGTTTATTCCAAGCATGAGTGTTTTATAGAATTTCAGAGTAATGCAGACAATGACAAAGTGCACATGAACACTATCTAATGCATATATGGTAATCCCTATCTGAGGTCTGTGTGAGAGCTCAATTGTATTAAGAATTTGCTTGTTGATGAGGATGTTTCTCAGGGTCTGCCACTGTATATAGTTACAATGTTTGGTTGTTAGCCCTGAGCACATAATACTGAAGTTACAACATTTCTAGCATAGCACAAATGGCAGAACTCAGCAAACAATACAGACCATGGGGAAAGGTCAGCTGTTGTCAAAATAGAATTGGTCAAATAGAATTGACCAAAACAGATTAGCATACAGCTGACTCTTCAATTGTTATTTTATGCCAACAGTATTAGTAACAAAGCACTTCTGTGCAAATACAATGGCCACCACCAATTGTGTTTTTATTAGTTTTTTTACAGGAGGCACCTCAAATACATCTCATTACCTCTCTCAGTGTCCCTCACTTTTGACTCATATTCTGATACGACATCATTGACATCCAGCTCAGCCTCTTTCAAGGCAGCAGCTTCTGAAAATAAAAGCCATGTTTCAAAAGGAACATCAGTAATAAAACTGTAAGAATGTTTCAGGCAATATCATGTCACTGTAGTGCCACCTTGTGATTCCATTTTTAAAAAAGGTCTCTTACTCATTACCATACTGCAATCCATTAATATGGTTACTACTTTAAGGTAAAACAAAATCAATGAAATTATATGGACTAAGCATCTGATGAAGAATGCTCAGACATTCAAAAGTTTATATAATAATGTCATTTTTAATCACATTACAAAATACTCTGCTTTTGTCGCAATATATTAACATAGCTACCACTTTAAGATAAAACACGTGTTAATGAAATTTGTTAAAGCAGAAAAGTCAAGTTATCTGAAAACATTTGAGTTCTACCTGTCTCCAGAGCATTGATGCAGCTATCCATTTCTTGCAGAAGTTCATCTATTTTAGCTAATCTTGACTGCAGCTTTTCCCACTGGAGCTTAAATGGAGAGAAAAAAGTATTTCAAACTTATTTATTTTGATGTCATTGGCAAATTATTATACTATACAGCTAAATTTCAGTTCAGTAAGGCTTCTTAATAACACAGGTATACTCCAGTTAACAATGCTTCTGGCTAAGAGGTTTCTTGCAACGAAGACTTTTTGTGCCCACCAAGCCTTCTTTCCCCCTTTCTTCTCACTCTCTGTCTAGCTGGAACTAGTCTTATTTGGTACTCAAAAAACAAAATAAAGGTATACCCAGTTAACAAAGTAGACATGTTCCTGAATGCTACTTCTTTGACAGTAAATTTGGTAGCAGAGGTAGAATAATAAGGAAAGAATAGGGATATGCTCCAGCAACACAAGAAAGAATTGCTATTCAACATGTTTCAACAGACTTTTTATAATACACTAGCCGTCCCTTGCCACGCGTTGCTGTGGCCCAGTCTGTATATATGCGTGTGTATATATTTGTTTATATATGTACATATGTGTGTTTGTGTATATATGTGGTTTTACACATGCATTATAATGTATTTTTGGGTGTGGTTTTTTTGCCTTTTAAGTCTCTTCTGCTGTGTTTTTCAGTGTTTTTTATGAGTAATGGTCACTCATTGGCCTGATAAGTGTATAGTGTCCAAATTTGGTGTCAACTGGTCCAGTGGTTTTTGAGTTATGTTAATCCCACAAACACACATTACATTTTTATTTATATAGATTAATGGTGTGTGCTTGTGAAATGAAACAGATAAGCCTTGGGTACATAAAGAAAATTACTTTGAACTCCAAATATGCTAAAATTATGGGAACAAGAATGGCACATGATAAGCAAATAAACAAGACATCTATATATGGACTGGCCCAGGATTGCTTCACAACCGTTAATATAAACAGTTTACCTCTGCATTCTGCACCAACTTTGAATATAATTTTGCTTTTCCTTTGTGAGCAAGTACTTTACTCTTCTTCGTAAAACAAGATTTCATTTTGTTCAGTTCTGCTCCAAAGCCTTTCAGCTATGGTAAAATGAAAGACAGTAAAAGAGTAAGAGTGTATGGCTACGGCCAGAAAAGAAAAAAAAAAGTTGATAACTTAATATAGCAGTAAGCGGAATTCACAATGGATTGGTCCTCAATTATGTTTCTTTCTTCTTAGGTCCTCATAATTCAATATGCATCAATGTTTTGTGTAATTTGTTCGGAGATAAAGAATCTGCACTTGTCTAAATATGTATCATACCCAAATGTGATTCACAATTAAGATCTAAATAATGTCGAAAACAATTTTCTGGACATGCAATTTTCTGGAGAATCTCACTTTTTCAAGTTTTAAGTAACAGTCAGAAAGGGCTCTTGACACAACACTTTAAAATTGACATTTTTATGTTGATACCTGGTGGATACTTATCTTTTATGTACCCAAGAAACAGACTAATATTAAGATATGTCTGTAATAGATATTTTGGTATTCCTTGTATTTGGATATAACACATATACAGACAATAGGATACCCAGTGTCATGCAAATCTCAATTCATTGCAGGAGTTGACTCCTTCTCCTCCTCTCAACAAATAGACACTTCACAGTATATTATACTGATACAATCACTTCCTATTGTTTCATATTTGGCTTCTGGATAGCCATATTTCCAAAAGTCTCCTGATAAAGAATTTATTCTGCTGTGAACAATACAGAATGTATTCTCCTGTTGACATACAATCAGGCAATGGGTAACAAATTTTGTGTTTCTGACATAAACAGAACTCTGAAATTAAGAGAGAACTGACAGCTTCCCCTTTATGAATTCCAGCAAATTTACTAATGTAAAGGGGTTCAGGGGTGTGAGCACACTTGTCTTCCTTTTTAAGAAAAACACCATACAACAGAATAGACTACTGTAAAAAGAATAATAATTAGATGTAGGTCATTAATGGACAAAGAGCAGTAGAGAGCCGGACAAACAGAGACAAAACAACCTAAGAACTGGACCACTGGATCTGGCATTGACATATCCCAACAGCTGAAATTATGGCAAAATATATGAATTGTCCATACCTCCTCATCAGAACAGGTTCTCATTACTTCCCACAGACTTTTATGCACATTCACTAGAAGTTTATCCTGGTCATTTGCATTTACCTTTAATCTGAAAGATAATAAACATACAAAAATAATATCACTGTACACTTGAAGATATGCTCCCTCAACCCAATGCAATTGCAAGATATGTATATTAAAATTAGTAGATCTAAGCATATTATTTATATCTCTTTTTTCTAGCTGTTGAGTAACTGAAATGGATCAATTCAAAAGTTCAAGTGAAGTTCTAGGGCAGTGATTTGGTCCTCCAGGTGTTTTAAACTTCAACTCCCAAAAATCCCAGCCATTTTATCAGCTGCTAGGAATTTTGTTAAGATGTCCCAAACACCTGGAGGATCAAAGGCTGGGAACCACTGTTCTAGGGATTCAAAGAAGATAAGTTTCAAATCTTGTACACACAATAAATGAATCCTGCATTGAGTTCCTACACTGGTGGGACAAAAAGCTAAAATAAGGCCTCTTCTACACTGCCATATAATCCAGTTCAAAGCAGATAATCTGGATTTATATGGCAGAATAGAAAGGGCCTAAAATGTGCTTCTCTCTTAAGTGTTTAGAACTGTTGGCAAGTAGACCTACATTTTCAATCAGAAATAAATTCTGCTGATCAACACAACTGAGGCTGTTCTAAGTTATCAGAATGTATTACCTGTTTTATATGAATTTAACTACAGAAAGCTAAGGACAGTCTTAGTAAGATCTGCTCCCAAAAATCTTTGATACTGACTGGGATTAAAACTTTGCTATTGGCCACAGTACATGACCTAGATTTTTCTTGATAGAATTGGTATTTATGCTAGGATACTGTTGAAGGTATTTTTAATTGATTCAATACTATAATGTGCTCCAACATAGGACTGCCTCTGAAAAACATTTGGAAGGTTAAACTGATTCAAAATGGTACAACTAGGGAGTGTTCACTGAAATGGATTATAAAGGGAATACAGTGTATTTGTGAAAAGAGATTAGCTGCCAGCTGATTTTCTGACCACAATTCAGAGTGTCTGTTTTAACCAATATATAAGTTATATATATATATTATATAAGTTTAATATTATTCAGTGCTAATCAAGGCGCGCGCAGGAGTTATACCAATTCTGTGAATCACAGGCTAGCCACGCAGGGAAAATAACCTCACCTCCTTAGTTTCCAACAGACCTCCCAACCTCTGAGGATGCCTGCCATAGATGTGGAAGAAACATCAGGAGAGAATACTTCTGGAACATAGCCATACAGCCCGGAAAACTCACAGCAGCCCAATGATTCTGGCTATAAAGCCTTCGACAACACCAGTTTAAAATTCTTCTTCTTCTCTTGAAACCTGGCCATTTATAAGATCTTTGAGGGAGGCCCTTTTCTAGAAATCACTAAGTTACCCCCGGGATTTCTTGGAGTCATGACAAGGTTTTCTGCAATAGTTTCTCCCAGACAAGGAAGGTCAGTTTGTTTCCCTCACCTTTAAGTCAACAAACAATCTTTTATTCAGACACGATTTTGGTATTTATGCTAGGGTATCACTGAAGGTGTTTCAATTGGTTCAAAGCAATTTATTTATTTATTTTTAAGAAATGCATTTATGTGTCAGGTATTTCTTTGTATTTGGGAGGGTTTGTTGTCAGGTGTCTTGAAAGTCACTTTGTTTAATGAAGAAAGACATAATGGATAAGCATAGAATTTACTGGTTTCTTCTTATTGTTTATGTTATGGTACTGTATTATTGTAGGCTTTACTGTTTTAATTATTCCACACTCTGGAATAAACTGAATATAGACGGTATACAACAGTTTTACATACATTATAATAAAAGACACCTTGGTAATGAATCAAGACCACTTTGTCTAATGCATTTTGGAAGACAGGGGAGCAAAACAGAGGAAAGGAGAAAGGTCAGATTCATTTGGATTCTCTAAGCATAACCTTTGTGAGGTAGAAAATACATCAATATCTCTTATTTTGAAAGCTTGTAAAGCTCCCAGTAAATATTGTCAAGAACACATATTAAAGAGACCAGATGAAGACAAAGCATAATAGAAGCCCATTGGGAGTTGGCATTTATTAAACACTACTCAAAATGCACTTTGAACAGAAATAGCAATCAACGTACTCATCTATTGTCTTGCAGAGGGCTTGACAGTCTTCATTATAAGACAGCAACTTGGGGTGGTATACATACTGATTTATAATCTCGTCTTCCAGGTTAGGAGTTGTGTTGACTTCATACTAAACAGAAGAAGAAAAATCCATTATGGTTCTATGTATTTAAGAATCCAGAGATGATAGTATGTGCGCAGAAAAGAACCACAAGGTTAAGTGTATCGTTGTTGCTGAAACAATTTCAAGTTGTGTTTAAATAGCTTCTTCGGAGCTGCCAGTACATGAAAAGCTAGAAATCCCAGTGCTAATGCTTATGCATTTCTTCATGTGATATGAATCATCAAGTCATTTTAAGTTTTGGATAAAAGAGGGGGAGGGGAAGAAATTTAACTTAGTGAAAGTGCTACACAATTTTTGGGGTGATTTACAAATCAACATTTAATGTAAGTAATTATATTTACATCCTTATACTCATATACTCACTTTTGGTGGGAGCACACTTTGCCGTGGTTTCTGTATCAGAACATGGACTTCAAGGAGTGTGAAAAATTCACGGACTGTTATGGTACCCTCCTGTAATTTCTGAAAATAAGACATCCAAACATAACTCATTAAAATGACCTCAAGTATTTGTATTTTTAAAGCCCAATAAATTATATTTTGTTTCAGTACAAAATGGATTTACATCTCATTACAGTTTGAAATGATAATAAGGAAGCCAAAGGAAAAAAGGAAATCTCAACTTGGAACAATTATCCCTTATGCTGAAAACCTGCTCTGGATTCTAGGAAACTATCAAGAAAAGATGTTCCGTGCTGCGTGGGAACAAAGTTCCAAATCTACAGTGAGGGTACAACTTATTTCTGAAGGTTTGTGTGAATAAAAATATCATCTGCCTGAAGTAATACTAATTGGAACTGCTAATGAGGATGTTTCACAGCTGCAGCAATATACATCTAGGTAGACAAAGGGGAGGGGGGTTAAAGGGACTTTAAGGTAACATACCTCCTGAAAATTTTGTTCACAAATACTATCCACAAGAAGCGGAGTTTCCATCTCACTATTTCGCTGAACTAGAAGGAAAAGTAGATCGGATAAGAGGCAGTTTTCCATGTGCATACAGAAACTTGACAGCATGTCTCTGTTATGTAAACAACTACTTCAGATGGTCTGGCTCATTTGGCTGATGGGATTTTAAAAGTTTCTGGTTCTTTTAGAAATGAAGTTGTGTCTTCAGTATGTTTACAATGATAAATGCTTACATCCCAATCAGTATCATAGAACTCTGTAAGAACATGAGCAGTAGATAATGTTGTTCTCCAAGCTACTGAACAAAAAATAATTCAGTTTCTTTAGAAAATATATTGTGAGAGAGCAGAACATACGACCCTCAGATGTTTTGGAATTTGGATCCTACAATCTCTAAACACAGGCCCATACTTCATGAGACTGATTTCCCGGGCAACTCACATGGAGGGCTAAAGCCGCCTCCAAATCAGTTAGAGAAGAGTTATTTTATGGTGGTAGAAGGGGCTGCTCAATCTTCTGACCAATGGCCATTCTTTGAACTGGGATGTAATCTCTATTGCTCCAATGAAACAAGAGTGTTAAAATTCAGCATTTGGAATTTATTGCAAAATATGATTATGGTTATGCTGGCTTAGACAGCTATCAACATGATAAAACTAGTTCATGGAGAACAGTTTTATCATTCTTTGATAACCATAATAGTTGAAAAGATAGACTTATGTTTATGTCTTCAGCTGCTATGCTGATGAGGCAATCCTATATATCACATCCTGTTTCAATGTTCATTAGCCACCGCTGGACAAGGCAGTGCTGAAGTACATGGACCTCCGCTCTTAGCCAGCCATGCATCTATGGTATTGACCTTTTTGCTTCCTGGAAGAAAGCTGACTGTGTTTAACAGTACAAATGCAAAGTATACTGAGACTGGGGGTCTTATGCTTGGCTGAATAGGTTTTCCTATCATAGAGAAACTATCCAGAGCCCCACTGGTGGCAAGGTTTGGGTCTATAAAAAGAAATTCTGTCCTCTATAGGCATCTGTGTCTTTTCTAAAATTCAACAGGAGTATCAGGATTAAACGTGTGCTTGTAGGAAAAACACTGTTGAGGAAAGAAATTTGGAATAAACTGGGTGAAGCTCCACTTGATTTTAGACCATTTCTCCTTCAAGAGATCACTGCTGTAAAATCTTATTGGAATACAAATGAAATACATTTGCGATGATATGGATTTAGGCAGGCTTGCAACAGTAGCATGGTTACCTAGAGAGCAAAAGCTATGCATATGGATACAATATTTAAGCAAGTTGTCTTCAGAAACTCTGCAAGATTTCAAGAAACACTCAGTCCCTTGGAAGATAAGACTGAATCAGGGATGCACAGTGAGGCACTGAGAACTACAACATGACTATCTGACATTTATCCATATTTATATAAACCCTGCATCTGAACTAAGTAATGTCGAAAAAATATTCTTATCACTGAAAGAGAAACATCAGCTGCATAAATAATACTATAGTTCCTATATCTACTAGGTTAGAGGAAACCAAAATAATCAGATTAAGGAGGAATCCTTACAACTACTGAAGTCTGTATCAGTCTTGCCTGAATCCAAAGAGCTGCAGTTGCTGCCTTGCGTCTTTTCCAGGTTCACAGCTATCAATTCTGGAACATTTTTATCTTCTTGGGTTGCTCCCTGGATGTAAGCAATGGCTGTGCTGCAGAGGGGCTAAATTAAAATAGTTATCATTTAGTAAACACTAGATCAATATGAAGCTTGTATATCTACCAAAATGTTTTTATTATTTGCCATGGATCATCACAATAGCACTTTTTAGATATTCCATAGTGGAATGTTATCAACAAGTTTTCCAGATTCCTGAAAAGGCATGTTGAGCTGTAATCCTGTATTTCCTTAGCAGGGAAAAAGTACCTTTGAATTCAATTACCACTATGGAATTGCCTAGCATATTTTATTTATCGTGGACCAGTGAAGCACACAAGTCTCACCCGGCTCAGCTTGGAGAGGGCTAAGCCACCCTGAAATAATCGGGCAAAATTGGACCATGAAAATCCCCTGTATTTGGAATTCTCAGCAATTATCAATCAGAAGTATACTAAATGACCTTGTTATTGCTTTCATGGTACTCAGATGGTTACTGCCTTCAGTTGGATTAATACAATGAAGATGACTATATTAATGCAATCTATTATGCTTTCATTGTTCTGTTAAAACATGCCTGCAAGTTGTCAACATTAATAATGACCTGCCTGCCAATTTTGACACCCATCTTACAAATTGCTCTAGTTTTTAAAAAAGATTTAATCAGGCAGGTAGCTAATTCAAAGAGCTTAGGACTAAATTTTCATTCTGTGGACTCGCATTAACTCCTTACACTGAAACCAGAAGTCAGTGGAAGTTTACTTCAATATATACATATTTAGCTTTGAACAACAATAAAAAGACCAAACTAGTTAACCAAACAGATCATCTGTGCTTTGGAGTTATGCTACATAAACATTCTTTACATATCCATAACCTAAGCATTGTTTTAAAAAGGAGTGTCAAAGAACAAGAAAAAATGTTCATTTAATGCATTTATAGCAATTTCCTCACATGATAATTCATTGTTAAGCATTACTTTAATTATGTAATGCACAGAAGCATATTTTGCTAGTAAAAGTAACCATATCAAATTAATAATATTATACACACCTGCTTGAAATCAGTAGAGTCATTCCAGCCCTCATCTCTCTTGAATTTTTTTTCTTTTTGAAGTTCTTCGTTTTCTTGATTCAAAGCCCTTTGTCTCTTATTAGTTTCAGTCAGGCCGCCTTCATTACCAGTAGTTCCTACATCCTTCTGCACATCATAAAGCTTTTCTGGCATATCACAACTTAAAGCCTCATTAGAATCAATTTCTTCTTCATATGCAGGAAGCAATTCTTCATTTATATAACAAGATAGATTTGGATTTTGTGCTAATTTGTCTGATAATCTTTTAATAAGCGGAGAAACTTCTGAATCTTGAGTTTGTTTTCTCTTTTCTAATCCAGCAGTTGCACATTCTGTATTTGAAACGGTAGACTTTCTTTTACTTGGTAGCTTAGGTGGAAAGATACCCAAGGGCAATTTTGTAATGTTATAGCTTTCGGTATGCAAGGGTACTTTAAGAGAAGCACCCTCTGTCCATTCTGTAGAGGCGGCAGTATCCAAGTCTTTTTTAGGATCTTCTTTCACACTCAGGGAAGAATCCAGCTTTGTTGTTAGTTTAGGATTTTTCTCAGTTTTGGCAATCTCTAATTTGCTTTTGTAATCATTAACCAAAGGAGGAAATCCAGAGCTCAATTTAGCTTCAGAATTTGTGTGGCATTCATTGTTATCATTCATGTGCATAAATTCAATCCCTGTTCTGTAGTTCTGGGTGATTTCCATGTTATTGCCATCTGAAACAACTGCCTTTTCATTGGACTTTGTGAAAGGGTTTAATATCTCTTTTGTAGCATCAGGTACATCATTATTAGAGCCATAAATGGAAACTACTTGGTTTTCTGTAACATCTATATCTTGTATTACCTCACCATATGTATGAGAAAGCACTTTATTCATATTCTGTTTTATGTTTTTATCTGGCATTTCTTTTTTCTCACTTTCCTCGAGATTCCCATTATAGGTAGCATTAGTGCTGACAGGAAAAGTGGGCTCAGCTTGGAGGGTTGCCTTACAAGGCAAGTCTGTTTTATTATCAAGTGTGATAGAATGTTTTTTATTGACCTGTGGATCATCAGCCACCATTTCCTTAGTAACAGTGTGAGATCCTGTTGTGTTCATATTATCCTGATGAAATGATACTTGTGGAGACCTTGCACATTGAGATAAAATGTCATGGGTAACTCTCACTGTATGGCACTTTGTATTCTCCATTTCAGCATCATGTTGTGAAAAAACAATAGTATCATATTTATCTAACCCTAGTAATGTAGTCTTCCTAATCTCTTTTCCTTTTAGTGACAAAGCAGTGAAACTCGCATCGGATACAGGCATTGTTATTTCCAGGTCATTATTGCAAGTAAATGTTTTATCTGCAGGAACAAAAGTTTTGGACTGAGTTTTTGCATCACTCAAGTGAGTAAATATGTTGGTTTTACCAACAGAAGCCGAGGTCAATCCTTGAGGAGTTTCCTTAACTTGATGGAGAATATCATGGTTTATTTGAACTGTATGGTTCCTCGTAATTTCCATTTCACAGTTATCAGGCAAGTAAGCATCAGTCTCTTCCTTTGTTCTTCCTTGTAGAATCATTTTGATAGTTTCTTCTTTTTCCACTTCCAAATCGTTGACTCTGGTATCTTTTAAAGATGTGGATGTCATGGGCTTAGTTATTTCCATGTCATTATTGTGCATAAAAAGGATAGTTTTATTTGCTGGAACAAAATGTGTGGACTGACTTATGTCACCGCTATGTATAGACATGTTGCGTTTCTCTGCAAGCATTAGGGAAAACAATGGAGGAGTTTCCTCTACTGCCATTGTAAGTCTCTTGGTAAGTCTCATGCCATTGTGTTCAGTCAGAGCAGGTCTTGTTTTTTCACTAGCTGATGTTGTTACTTCTTTCTTTCTTTCATTTTGCAGAGATTTTTCAGTTACATATTCAACAGGCTTAGTTATTTTCATATCCTCACCAACTGTAAGCATGGAAGTTTTCTTTGAAAAAAGAGCTGATGAAACAGGAACATCCACACTTTTAGCAACATCATCATGTTTTAATGCCACTGTATGGCTCTGTGTAATTTCCATTTCATTTTCATCATTAAGTACAATAGTCCTATCTTTGAGTGGTCCAGTAAGTGTCCTTCTCCTAGATTCATTACTTCGTTTTTCTGTAGGTGTTTCTATAAACTGATCTATCACTCCTGTTATAGCTCTGGTTTCATCCATATAATCATTACACATATAAACAGATTCAGTTGCAGATTGTATAGAGCATGCTTGATGGGTTCTCTGACATGGCTGCATATAACACTTTACTGGCACTGTATGGCTTCTGGTAATATCAATTTCATTGTCTTCATTTAGGGAAAATTGAACAGTATTATTACTGTTCAACCCTATCACATTTTTTCGATCATTTTCTATTCCTTGCTGAGGCATAGCATTCAGAGAGTTTTCTAAGTAAGTTATAGGTTTAGTAATGTCCATGTTCTCACTGAAATGAAATGTGGCAGTTTTATCATCTGAAATTAAGGACACTCTGTTTGAAAGTCCACTCTTTTTTTCCATTTTATTTTCTCCTACTATGGTATGAGCCTGTTGTATAATGTCATTGGATGAGGAAAGAAAGGGACTCGCTGCTTGACTTCCAAAACTCTTTGTTACTGGACCAAGTGGGCAATAGTTTGTCTCAGGGAGGCAGGATGTCTGAGGAATATCCAGTATTCTTGAATTTGGTAGACCCATTGTATTATAAGTAACCTCTTGAAGTGGACCAGGTCGTTCATTCAAAGCAGAATGTAGATAAGAATGTGAAGGGATTTGATTGCTTGTGATGTCCATATGCTCTTCTTGAAAAATAGTTTTCTCCATTAGCCTGGAGACATTATTTCCCTGTTTGCCAAAATCCAGAGCAAAAGGATTGCCTATTCCCTTGAAATTTTCTTCGCAGGCTAAACCTGTGCAATTCCCTGTTAGTTCCATATCTGCACTGAAGTCATAAAATGCAGTAGTTTTGTCTGCATGGAAAACAGGCATAGAAGTGACAGAGTCAACAGGCCTAGGCATTATACTGGTTTTATAATAATGAGCAAATGGGGCATCCTCCTTTATCTCAGTATGTTTTTTATCAGCAATTGATTCTATATGATTCATGGTTAGTTCATTTGCACACACACGTTGATCCTCTTGAACACCAAATGGATTTCTAGAAGTCTTTAATCCATTACTGTCCATGTTATTACTAGCTAACCAATCTCTCCTAGAGCTTTCTTGGGAATCTGCTATGTTAAGTGAGCTAGTTCCAGGTGGCAAAACATTTTCCATATTGGTAATAACCATGCCTGTATTTTCTTGTTCATAAGCTACCTGCTTTGAAGGAAGTGTGACAGTACTTTTGTTAGAAAGTTTAGATGTTACATGGTTTTGTATATTATAAACTACTTCAGAAGCCGTGGTTGTGTTGCAGTCTTCCTCATGAAAGTAGGAATAACCAACTTTTCTTTCCAGAACTCCTGCAGGTAGAGAATGCACGGTAGACTTCAAGCTGTTCATGAAGTCACTAAAGTTAATTTTAGGGGTGTTTTCAGTGTTCAGCCGCTGTTGAGATAAACTTGTCTGTTTCATTTTTTCAGGGCTGCTGAATAAATGACATTCATTCATTTGTGAAGTTTCATTTCCCGATTTTAAATCAGCTGAATAAGGTTCGAAATTTATCTTCCTTGTGTTGTTAATTTCTTCACAGATTCTAATGTCATGGGTAATCAACATTGTGTGACCAGACGTCATATCCATTTCATTTTCATCTGAAAATATGACTGTTCTATCCATTTTGTTCCATGCTTGACAAGATTCTGCATCCCAACACTATTAAAAAAAAAAGCAGATACCTCTAAGTATTAGGCTATTAACTAGTTGGATTTCAGAGACATTAAAATAAAAGGCCAGCTCATTCTTTAAACTGGTTAAGCAATAACTTTCTTTTCATCTGAATCTGTGCTTAACATAGAGATTTGTCTCAAAACAACAGGTAAAAAATTTTTTTCCTGAAAAAAATGGGAAAAAAACGAAGATTCTGGAATATTTTATTTTATAATGAGTAAAATGTTTTAGGTAAGTTGTTCATATATTTATTGCCACTAAAATCATTTCTAAAAACTATGTTGGAGAAGTTCTTTTTTGTATAGTACCAGATCATTTTAACAGCCTGTCAGTTCATTTAATGGAAATGAATGCACTGTATCTTCTTAACATTATGCAAAATTAATGGAGATAAAATAGTTTAGTTTTAACATGGTTGATAGTTTTTTTTTCTGTTTTTACTTATGAGTGGGGGTTGATTTTCTTAAACTGAGAAAATCAAAGGTGCTCCTAACAGTTCAAGATCTTATAGCTCCATTTATTTTTTTAACAAATAAATAAAATGTTCAAAAGTTCAATTTTAATTATATTCTGAATTAACTGTACTTTTAATGTAGCAAATTTGACCATTTTATCATACACCAAGTTACATATACTCTAATACATTTTATGTTCCCAAATTGACAGGATAAGTATCAATTTGTACTGGATACAACTATTGCATTTTGCAATTTTGAAAAAAAGGCCACTTTTCCACAGAAAACTGGGACAACCCTTTTTTCTCCCACAGATCCCCTGAAGCTCCTTCTCTACCCAAGATTAATGTTCTCTTTCCTAGTTTGGGAGACCATACATATATGCAACACTTTTTAGCTAACAGTGCAGGATTGCATCTGGTGGGATCTCTGCAATCAAATATCAGAGAAAATAGCATGACTCCTAACACTGGGCATATGTGAAGGGCCATCCACTATGTCATATCTGAAAGAGGAATTTTTCATGTAGAAACACTGATCACCTTGCCTCCCTCTCTGATTGGGAACTACATACTAAGGTAGATGACAAATATGATCACAGGTGGGAAGGAACTGTATCCCTTTAAAACCATACAGCCAGGTATTTCCACACACCCGAGTTAGAAGCTTTTCCCCTGATCAGTATGGGTAGCTGAACAGAGGTGCATCTTCACCCAACAAGAGAAAGGGATACATACATACACACATGAGATGTACACACACTCTTTCTAAATACATTCTGCTGGAATATACATATTCTTTGTAAAACTGCATAAAATTGAGATACTAGGAACTAGATTACATGGATGAAAGAAGATCCTGTATTCTTACCTCTGTTGGCTGCAAACATGTCTGGATGGGGGCATGAAGTAAAGTGCTCATCCCTTTTAAGAAGAGGAAAAATCAAACTTTTATTTCTGGTTAGCAGAGCATGCAGTTTTCAAACTCAAGTCTTGAGAACCTCTTTCAGTCAAAGGGCAAAATTCTAATTAAGATTGGTTTTTGGTATTACATTGCAATGACTGCAAAGGCCAAAATCTAAAAAAGGCAGAATTACAAGTTGAAGTGCATAAAGTTCTTTCTGCATATGAATAAACCTTCAGAAAATAACTTAATTTTTTTAGAAAGAGAAAAAAATGACATCATGAAAAAAGTGTTACCATCTTGGGAACCACAGAGGGAAACAGTGTGAAGGATTTTTTCCCCCAATTTAGGATTACTTTGCAGCACTGGCTCAATGGGCATCTGCCAAAGGTTGAGGAGAAGCATTAGTTTACCTCAGGACCTTAGACAGCAACAATAACCCTGGAATGTGCCCCACTGGATTTTTAAGCTGTTTTAACTCCCACCTGTTGCTAAAAACAATCTCCATATGTTTAAATCATCCTAGGCTTCATTTCATCAGGAAGTAAACCAGTTTTAAAGTTCCACTTAACTTCTGGCTACATAAAGGCCTCCCCTGGAACTGAAACAGCCCAGATTGCCAAAACCATGATGAAATAACTGCCCCCCCCCCCACCACAAAAGAAAGTGACTGTTCAGTCAATTCATGTCTATATTGCTCCTTACATCTCTCCCATAGAGCTTATTTTATATGTGCTTTTAATTATGATCTGTATTTTATCGTTTTATTGAGTTATTTTTTATATCTTTGCTTCTGTTTTTACGATTATATATGGCATCAAATATTTGCCTTTTGTATGTGTAAACTGCCCTAAATCCCTATGGGTAGAGAGGACAGGTTAGAAATGATAATAATAATAATTATTAAAATGATCATTTCACAAAGTCAGGGGAAAAGCATAGAGAGAAATTTTGAATTACCTAAAATGCTTCGGGGCTTTATACTTACCAGTGATCTCACATGAAACAACTTCTGGATCTTCATTTCTTTTAAAAAAACCAATAATGTATAATTTTAATTATATAAGATCATTTCAGAAAAATGAACTAAGTATTAACAGAAAGCTGTAGACCCTGGATATAGGTTTTCATTTTACAAATGAAAAATATGAAAATTGCTCAGATCCAAATAACCCCGGCATTTTAACTGGTTAAATACCCATGCAATTAATTGTACACTTCATAATAAATCTGAAAAAAAAAAAAATTTAAATCTGTGCAAATTCACACTAAAATAAATTGGACTCTTCCCTCTGACACTTTTTTTTTCTTTTTAGGTTAAAAACAGTTGTATTGGAAGTATCCTGTCAATGAACTCATCCTTCCCAAGCAAAAACATATTATTTATTCATTTATGTGCGATATTTGTATACTACCCTTCTCAACCCCGAAGGGGACTCAGGGCGATTCACATATAAAAAGCTTCCTACACAGCAGTTCCTTTATAAAGTTGTTAACTCTAAACCTTGGTGAATGTGCTATAAAAATATACTTAAATGGACGTCACATTAAAAACAAATATCTCGGGTTACCAGCATAAATCAAGCTTCTAAATTCTAATTCATGGGGGGTGGAGGGAGATATTTTTATAGGTTGAGAATTATATTGTGACAAAATATTGATTTTAAAAGGCTATTATAAGCTGAAAAGTTCTGCAGCCCTTTTCAAATTATTGTCTGGTTAGGAGATTTTTTAATACTTACTTTTGAAAAAAATCTTGAACTCTTGGTTCTCCAGCTGTTTCTGAAACTGTTAAAAACACAAAAGAAATATTAGCCTTATGAGATGTGTTTGTGGAAACAATAGTGAAGAGAATAAGAACTTAATTGACCCTGCTCAACTGGTAATATAAATGCAGTGCTCACCTGCCTGCTTTGATTCCACAATGATTTGAGGATCTGGTGGGAAGACCCTAAGAAAACAAGAGTTCAACTTATGAAAATATGTTGTGTAGTATTTTTTGTTTGTTTGTCACAGGCCAGAACTGAGGGAGCCCATTCACATATTAACACACACACTTATAGACCATTTCAGTTCCATTTTTTGGCAGATAGAGATATTTCCTATTGTACTATAACAAAAGCAAAAGTACACTGAGAAACCCAATATGGTTTAATGGTTTGAGTGCTGGTCTACAATTCCGGGGATCAAGATTCAAATCACATGCTACTTCTCTGAGACTATATTGCTATGCTGGCAACATATTGACATAAAAATGAACTGTCTGCCTCTCCCATTCCTTCAGCCACTATTCTACTTTTGTCTATGCTAGCATTTTTTCTAGCAAGAAGCAGAGAAAGAATTCAGGGCATTAACACTACAATGTTCCCATGGCACACCATTCCTGAGTATTTCAGCCATTTGTCTGACCCACAAATCAACAGCTGACTTGAAGGCACATATACATGCAGTCTTCTTCTTTGACACAAACTGGGAGCTAAACTTTCTAGCTCAAGCAGAGAAGACAAATGATAACACCTCCAAATACCTAGCCTCCAGGAGCAATATTTCAGAGACCATTCTTTCTCTGCATTGAGACATTTGATTCCTTGAAGAAGATTTTTATTACAAAGATGTTCTTGTTAATTTATATATCAAAGTGGAACAGCTCAATATTTCCCAGTACTGAATTCAGGATGAAAATTACAGATGACATATCTTTGAGAACCAACTCACCGTATAGTATCTGCAAAACTGACACGCCTAGAATTTCTCTGACGTTTCTCAACATTGCAGTTCTAAATATGCAACACAGAAATAAAAACCACAGAAAGCAATTAAAAAATTAAAAGAAAAATGTTGATGACATATATAAAAAGATTATCAGATTATTGCATGTACAGAATTGTTTTTTTTTCTTCCTCTAGTGTTGTGACTAGTGCCATATTTTGTTACTATTTTTTTTAAAATTCACAATAGATTGATAGCTGGTGGTTTGCACCACCAAGTTTAGTAATAATGCTTGATAGCATTACATTAGACCTTTATTTAAAATGTATTAAGATATCCATGTTAGCTGAACAAATATAAATTATAATTTTCATATACGTTAATATGTATACATGCACACATGCAACTGATCAACTCTGGTTGTGTACTGCAACTCTAGCAATGTGCTAGGACCAAGTGAAATAACAAAATAATTTTTAAGCTTAATTCTAAGAATCTTACTGCCTTGAACAAAATTGGCATCTCACTTGATCAAGATGCAAAGCATATCTTAATGGATGCTTTCTGAGATAGAATACAAAAGCTTAGTATTATGTATACTTTTGTATACGTCAAGGGAAGTTTTGGTATGATTTTGATAAGTCAAAAATCATTCCATGGAGATGGAAAAGCACCAATGCCACCTCAGCAGCTTCCATTTCTCTGCCCTGAGAGAGTAGAGGGGGTGTTGTTGTTTTAAGATTCTCTCAGGATGAACTAAACTCTTGCTGTTCACCATTCTGCTCAGAGAAAGGATGGTTCTGCGAAGCCGTGACTCCCACCGCTTGTTACTAAAAATTTAAAACCGTTCACTTGCTGCCACCAAAATAT